TCAATAATCGCGAATAGAAACCCGATCATTCAATTATTGACAACAGAAACCCGATCAATCAAGAATCGACAATAGAAACATGATCAATCAATTATTGACAATAGAAACCCGATGAATCAATTATCGATGATTTGTTCGGAAGCTAGGTATTTAAATTAGATTTAGATCTTTTATTTCGTTTTTTGATAGCATCATCATTTTTTATCGGTAATATGCAGCCATGTCCATTCTTTGGTATCTTAATTTTTTTTCATGCCCCTTTTAGTAATAAAGTTCCAAAATGCTAATTGGCTGACCCCACTGTTTGCATGAGAGTTTGTGATGAAGGGGGTCGATTTTCCGTCCTTATGTTGTATAAATACGTCACACAAGTCTTGGTGAAAACATTATGCTGCAAGATCATAACGATTTTCTACTAAACACTTTCCAAGATTTTGAGGCCTTTTTAATTGTCGTTGAAATATAACGATAAGAGATACCAGATTCGGCTGATTAATTAAATAGGGATTATGAAAAATTTTAAAGATAAAAAAAAACACAGTAATTAAAATATTTTCGGCATTGTCAAAGTAACTGAAATATCTACACACTACACTTTAATTTCTTACATTGCCTACATCTTATCATAAATTTAATTTTTCTTTAAGTATTGCTAACACAAAATTATCTGTTATATGAAAAAGATGATGTATGATTGCCAATCAGACAACTCTCCACAAGAGACCAAATGACACAGAAATTAACAACTATAGGTCACCGTACGGCCTTCAACAACGAACAAAGCCCCTCCGAATAGTCAGCTATGTTTGTCTGTTTGTACTTCGACATGAAATTTGAAGTATCTTCAATAAACTACTATCACGCTGCATCTAAGCTGATTTCAAAAGGAAGTTTCCCCTAAAACGACAAAATGTGGTTTCAGAATTAATTTCAGTATATATCTCATGTTTTATGATTACGATTCAAAACAAAATTTTCAGAATTTCAAATTTTATAGATGGATTAAAAAAAAAAAATTTCCCCTCTTCCTCATCTCTCTTATAATATACAATAATACAGCTTTCTTGTTTAAGCTTTCCTTGCGAGTTTTTAGCGAGTAAGTATTGTATTAATTTTGACCTAGTTGCATGATTATTTAATACTATCTCTTTCTGTAGAATTCCATGAATACTTGACTTTTAACATTCCTTTCATTTTCACCTTTTTTGTGAAGTTTTTTCGTCATGAACTATGTGGCTTCAAATAATCATTATCCAGCTAGACGATTAAAGTTCCGTTCAGTGTGTGTGTCATTAGAAAAGTGTTTGCAGTGATTCTTATTACAAAAACTCTTGATATTTGTATTATTATGATATATCTATTTTAAAAACATAAGGAACTGTTTGTTTGATTTTATCACTTAAGCACATCATAGCAATATTTAATCAAATCATTTTAATATGGCCTAACATGTAATTTGGCTGAATATAATCATAGACTTTCAATTCTTAATTGATATGAAGATGTTAACAGATACAAATAGTAACGTTTAGGTATTGTCTAGCCCATCTAGAATGCACATTCTACTACAAAATGTAGCAGCTCCTACAAGGACCTCTAACATAAAGTTAAGGTGTCCTCCTTGCAGATCAGACGGATAAGAACAATGGCTCTACAAACTTTCAAGATTATGAACAATATAGCTCCTGTGTGCTTACAACATCTGGTGAGTGTTAAAAAAGTTTTCTTTCTGGTATGTAAATATTCTGGATGTTCCACAGGTAAAGTCAATCCGTTACGGTAAAAAATCATTCAAATTTGCTGCCGCAACTTTATGGAACAGCCTTTCAAACCATTTCAGGACTGAAAATAGTTTTTCACATTTTAAAAGTCTTATTCAGTCTGGAACGGTTTGGAATGTCGCTGTTCTGCTTGCAGATAACTCTTGAACTGTTTATTTTTTATGTTGCTTTTTTTTGCTTTGGACTAGTATTGATGTATTTCTTCACGAATTTTTATATATTTAAATTTTAGTTTCTGACACATATTTCCAGAAATTAGGCAATCAATGCATGTTGAAAATATGTTGTTCTTTGAAATTTCTAGATCTTGAAGCATATACTATAGTTCCAAACTTTTTTATTTTATTTTTACAAAAGTAAAATTGAGAATGGAAATGGGGAATATGTCAAAGAGACAACAACCCGACCAAAGAGCAGATAACAGCCGAAGGCCACCAATGGGTCTTTAACGCAGCGAGAAAATCCCGCACCCGGAGGTGGGCCTCAGCTGGCCTCTAAATAAAAGTTTTTACTAGTTCAGTGAAAATGGACGTCATTCCTAACTCCAAAACATATAAATAAACTAAAATAAAAAAACATTCAAGACTAACAAAGACCAGAAGAACATAACCCGTATCATGCCAACAACTAAACAAGTAATCTATTTATTTAAATAGTTACCATATTTTTAATCTAAATTTTAAACTTTTAAATAGGTAAACCATGCTTTACTTCATTCTAAATTTGCTGCTTAATTTTTATTGCATGCTGTGTGTGAGATTCAACTTTGTATTACAGGTTGTTTATATCTTAGACTGTTTTTATGTTATGTATATGTTTTATATTCGGTCAAAAGCTCCTTAAAGCTTGTGTTGTATATTTGACTTCTGCCGAATCAAAATAATTTTTTCTTATCTTATCTCATATTATCTTAACATTGTAGGTTAATGACCGCCTGGTTTTTCTTAAGGTACTAACATTGTAAGTCGTCGATGGTTTTCCTAATCTTAATTTTGTTGTTTTCTTAACTGGATGCGTTTATAAAAGGCTATACCCTCACTAAAAACTAGTCAAAAAAAGGATATGACAATCGAGGGTTGCAATCATTTAAATAGCAGATTTTTTAAAATCTTATCACAGGTTAGATGATCATACAGGTGAAGATTGTCATGGCATCTCCCTTCTTCTTCTTCTTCTTCTTCTTCTTCTTCTTCTTCTTCTTCTTCTTCTTCTTCTTCTTCTTCTTCTTCTTCTTCTTCTTCACCACTATTTTGGTTTCCATGTTCCCACTGCAATTAAAATTACTAGAGAAAAATTCATTATCTAATTAAAGTTATCCATTAGATATTGTGCACCTGGTCTATTTTCTTCAATCTTGCTTGAAGTAATCTGAATAATTCAGGACATCGATGTAATCGATCTTCCTCTAATGGCAGCCAAAACAGAGCAGTCGAATATAACGACTGACTTATTCAGGTCATGTTCGAACAAGTTTTTAGTGTCTGACTGACAAATGTGCTACTGAACTTAGTTTGAATAACTACTGTGCCCTCTTTTGGTCACACTTACTCTGGCCTTAAAACTTTTAGATTTAGACTATAGAAACCCATTCAAACATTATCGACAATTACAATTCGATCAACCAATTATCGAAAATAGAAACCCAATTAGTTAATTATCGCAATTCAAACACATTCAATAATTATCGACAAGGGGAATCCAAACAATCCATTATCAACAATATTTATCGACATTATAAATCCGTTCAATCTACTATCGACACGAAAACCCGATGAATCAATTGCCGACAACATAAAACTGACCAATCAATTATTAAATTTAGAACATGATCTTGACCTTCGACCATGAACTCAGTTTCAGGAGCACATTTCAAAAGACAGTTGTTCTCTAAGACTTATTATAAACTCATCATAGATACCAGAATTAAAATGTTGTACGCCAGGCTCGTCTACAGAAGACTTATCAGTGACGCTCGAATAAATATATTTAAAATGCCAATTAAAGTACGTAGTTGAATACCATTGAGGACCCAAAATTCCAAAAAAGTAATTATGTATGAGTTATGTAGACATATCACTTGTCAAATGTTGAAAGGGAAATAATTTCCATTAGATGCCACTGCAAAATTGAATGAAACATGTTGAGGATGATACGACCAATTTGGGGTGGGGGGTTTCAAATCCATATCTTTTACGGTTCCTGAGGAATATTGATAACACCGGTTCAATGGTTAAACCGTAATTACTGCATGATATCATGCGCCAAAAATCTTTTCAATATGTCGCGAAACAAAAATAAATCTCAGATGGCGGGAGATTGATTGATTGAATGTTGTTTAACGTCACTTTTAGCACTATTGGCTTTTTCGTTGTGGTCATTTTTTATTGGTGGCGGAAGCTGGAGTGCCCGGACAGAAACACCTACCTTCGGCAGGAAAACTGACAATTCTAGTAAATTAAGATTGTAGTCGAGCGCACCTGCCACGTGCGGGGTTCTAACTCACAACCTCAGTATTTACAGACTAGTTTTACAGTAGTAAGACTACTTAGCCATTCCGCCATAGAGGCCCCAGATGGCAGAAAAAAAATATCTAAAAAAAATCAAAAAGTCTTTCGAAGTTCAGTATTAATTTCATTTACTGCCATCTAAGGGAATTGTGTTCATATGAGAAGAGTCATTTGTCTAAACATACTTCTGGACTTGCTTGTTTTCATTGCTGTCTTTCTCCTTTTAAATTAATTTTACATTACATTTTTATCATTAATACATTTATATTATGGTTGGATGGTTGTTTTTTTTTTTTTATTTAATGCATACAAGTACTGAATCATGTTAATATTATCAGAGAAAAATGCGTTTCATGTCTTAATATTTCTTATGTTTTACGTTTCATTCTAAGATATCCTATGTTTTACAGATAATTTTAGAATGTGTGATAAAAACAAATATTTGAAAGTTTTCTTCGCTTTTGTGCATTTATTCCTGATAAATATGCACACGACTACTTGCCAGAGTCAGCCAAATTATAAGAATATATATAACCACTATGCTGCAGCCTGTGGATTGCATTTTTGTGATGCTTCAATGATAACATTGTCATATTTTCAAAACAATTTAACAAATCTTGGCTCTGTTTGTCCTGCATGTCACTGTAATGATTGCATTCTTAATACAAATTGTTGTCCTGATTTTGGATTACTGCACCACAGAGAGAAATGTATGAACGATGTTATATACAATCCATACAATTTGTTATCAGATGTTTACTTTTCTGTGATAGACAAATGTCCTCCAAACACGCCTCCGAAAATTAGAAATCTTTGTGAAAAGGAAACTGATCTTATTCAAAATCTTACACTAGTACCCGTGACAAGTCAGAACAGGACAACGTATAGGAATGTTTATTGTGGTCAATGTCATGGTGAAACAGATTTAGAGTCATGGACTATAGACATATATTGTCAAAAATTTGCAGACTTTAACTTCTTATCCAGTTTCGCAGAAATAGCTGAAACAATAAAGGTTAAAATGTGCACTGTACGATATGTTCAACAGAATGCCAATAACAAGGCCCTCCCGTGTAATAGAATAACTGATAATTTGATAGATAGATGCAACATGACTGGCACTTGGAGCTCATATGACTTGGATATCGATTGGGCATGCGATCACTTTCAACTTCCATTTGATAAGTACAAAAGTATATTTTGTTTAATGTGTAATCCTCCGTTGCCAGATTTGTACATGGATATCATCTCTACGTGTAATGTAACTGATGATAGCCCAAAAGTGCTAGAAAATGCATGTGAAATGTATCAACAAAGCAGCGTAACGTTTCCGTTCAAAAACATGTTTTGCTATCTTTGCAATAGACATGACGATAAAGATAAGTACAATGATATAAATGGGTAAATAAGTATTTTATTTGAAGGTGATAGAATGGTTTATAAAATGGAACAATTGATGTTTAGGAACGATTTCTTGACGCCATATCTTTCATATCAAAGCGATAAACCAAACACCGATTTTAAACTTGGGAATAGACTAAACAGTACATACGAATTTTTCGACGATGGACGACAAGTTAATGTGGCTAATCTTATGATTCTATATTCATTAGCATATGGACCAAATTTATGTGGAATTTACAATGCCGGTCCAAAAACGTTGGTACCATATTGTTCCTGTGATGAAACATGTATATCTCATCATACTTGTTGTGTCGATTTTGAATTAGATCAGCTCTTGGATTGCTCGGATGGAAACATTGTATCTGGTATATGCCGTTATACTGATGAAGGTATGAATTCATATTGTGAAAGGAGGGGTGAAGTGATGTATGATCTTCCAGTTAGTAGAACTGACACAAAAAAACACTACAAAAATATCTTTTGTGCACTTTGTGCAGACAACAAATTTAATTTCCCAATGAGATTTCCCGTAAAGCCGTTCGCGCAGGATTTGTTTCATCCATGGGACATTGAAATAACATGCGCAATATCCAATCTACTTCCGATATATTATCAGCTCTCTATGACAGACATCTTTAAATCTGCTACTAGAAGAAATTGTGATATTACATTCAAACCAGCGTGGGGAAAAGTTGCTGTGTGTGATGACAAGACAATCATGATAAAATCATGCAATGTATCGGGTACATGGTTACATCTTGATGCTGATGTGTTATGGGCTTGTGAAAAACTAAACACAACATTTATGACAAATTTCAGAGGATTTCGAAACGTATTTTGTACATTATGCAATCCGGGCGTACCACTACAGCCTATTCCACCTCCAACAACAACGACTGAAACTATAAATCGGGATCCAGTTACATGCATTTCGTGTATAAACAGCGATGGTGTTGTAACCACGTTTAGGGCATTATTTCAAATATCGAACGACGACGACGAAAAAGTAACTGAGTGCACTAGAGGACAGGTCTTGGATACTTTACATGTAAGTTAAACCTATATAGCTCTACCACCTGAAATTAATATTTCACTTTCGCATTGAGTAAGGACGGTTAAAAATCTACTAGATCAAGGGTATCACCGCTTTACTACTACATTAGCTAAGTTGGTAGACCAAACGCATACTATGTCCAGGGCACCAGATTCGATCCCAGATTGATTAAGTGATAATTTTGAAAGGGACATCATGTTCAATTATTGTTAAAATAACATTTTGGAATGATTTAGTCTTCTAAAATCGTTATTTGTCTTACATTTGGTAATGATAACTCTAATGAAAATGGGGTTTTTCTCCAAACAAATTACAAGGGATTGCAAATAAACTCATCATAGATACAAGGATTGAAAATTTGTATTTGAGTCAGATGCGCGTTTAGTCTACAAATTTTCATCAGTGACGCTTTTATAAAAAAATGTTAAAAGACAAAATAAAGTACGAAGTTGAAGAGCACTGTGGAACAAAAAATCCTAAAAGTTTTGCCAAAAACAGCTAAGGTAAAGTTATATTAAAGAATAATCAGACAAATTGACAAATCAAAAATGCTTTTCGTTTATTGTTTTCTACATAAATCAGGCCGTTAGTTTTCTCGTTTGAATTGTTCTGCATTTGTAAAATTGATGCCTTTTATAGCTTACTATGCGATATGGGTTTTGCTCATTGTTGACGGCAGTACGGTAATTGTAAAATTCTACGTCATTTTGTCTGGGCTAGAGAGTTGACTCATGGCAATCATAACTCTTATTCTTATATTTTTGCACATTTTCACTTTATAAATTAAACACCTAAAATGTTGTTTGGATATGGCTAATACTACTTTTTCAGAACACAATTTTTCTGAACTAAAATATTACGTTAAACAACGCTCAATCTTTGAATATATATTCCTGTCAAGTGAATACAGAAACGTATTCAAATTGTTAATTTTTTGTACGTCATGTATTTATTTTCGTGTCTTTCAGAATAAATGCAGAGATGTAACGTGTTCTCCCGGATATATACTGCTAAATTCAACTTGCGAACCAATACTACCCGTGACTAAAAATCTCGGATATTTGCTACCTATCCGTTTGGACTTTGTATCTAAAATAAATCCAGTCTCAATTGATTCCTTTTTACAGAGAATGGAAACAGCAATAGCAAATTATTTGAAAAGATACCTTAAACTAAACAGAGACCTACATTTCATATCTGCTGACCTAATCACAAATTCTACTTGTATCATAAATGAAACGGTAGGAATGGAGATATTGGCAAGTATTGAAGTGTTCATTGACGAGATTGTTTCAAGGAAAGACATTGAAAGGAAGTTAGCCAATATCAGTGGTGAGTTGGTTAATGTCACTGGATACGATAATATAAACCTGACAATCTCATTAGACTATAATGCAATAAACACCAAAACAAAAATAAATGATATCGGACAGTTTACCGGACTGTGCTATTTATCCACAACAGATTCTGATTTCAAAAGGTCGCACATGTACTATCAGTTCAACCTCGTTTCTAATCTACTCTTTTGTAAGCAGGTAGTCCTCGATAAAAGTGAAGTTATCGTCATTTTCAATCCAACTTCTTCTGTTACATTCGTTTCAAGTAAAGTTAAAATAGATCAAGGACATTTTAGAATAGCCGGAAATGGCACGGTAAGAATATGTGTCGATACACTATTGTCATTGAAGGAACCTAACGTGCCGATAGACAAGGTCATGTCTGCAATGATGGTCACAGCAACAATTATTTCAATGATTTGTCTGTTCGCTACCTTTCTTACATACTGTTTATTTCCAAGCCTCCGATCTGTTCCTGGTAAAAACAACATGTCTCTTGTGTTTTCATTATTTTGTTTACAGGCTGTGTACACTATAAGTACGCATAAAATCGAACATCTTTTGTCTTGTCAAGTGATAGGAATCATAGTCCACTTCTTTCTTTTGAGCTATTTTGCTTGTTTAAGCGTTTGTACATTCCACATGTTAAAAGCATTTAGCAGCATTAGCGGACCGTATAATACAGGCCACGGTAATCGAACTGTGTTAGTGTATTGTTTGTTTTCTTACTGTACTCCAACAATTATAATCATTGTCAATATAGCTGTAACCTTTTTGTTAGCTGACAACATCGGGTATGGCGTCAGAGGATATATCTGCTTTGTGAAATACTCATCCGCTGTTATTGGAACGGTAATCGTTCCTATTTCGTTCATTTGTGTGTGTAATGTAGCTTTTTTCATCATGACAATGCGCAAAATTAGTTCTACACCGAAGATTCAGCGGACGAGTTCACACAAAACTACCCATGACAACAGCATCGTCTACATTAAACTTTTCAGCATAACGGGTATAACATGGGTATTCCCGATGATCGATGCGTTTTTACCGATGACCTCCTTAACTGTGATGTTTTCGTTGCTAAATGTGTTACAGGGTGTGTACATCTTCCTGTCTTACATATGTAATACACGTGTAAGAAGGATGTTTAGGAATTTGTGTGGTTGTTATACAGGTGGCTTGGACTCAAACTTTACTGGGTTAACCAATAGTTCACAAGTATTGTCAGCGAGTAGTGTTAAATATCTATCACAACAAAACACAAAGTGTATCCGTGAAAGTAAAATTTGATCTGTAAGGCTTAAAGATGTGACATGGGCTTACGGGTTTAATTCTGTAAGTGGAAACAAATATGCAAAATGGTAATCATTTCGTCGTAAGATGCATTGTATTTGAAAATGAATGACTTGTAAATAATTACTCAATAAAAATTTTCTTTGCTCATTTGAAAATATTTTCTACGTGTGTACAATTAAGTGTGAGTTAAATTCCTGAAAAACTTGAATTCTTTCAATGGTGTTACCGTGCATCAAAGTGTACCTTTATAAAGGGACAGAAACAATACACACTGTCAGTGAATAAACTCTTCATAGATGTAACCAGGATTGCAATTGTGAACGCCAGACGCGCGTTTCGTCTACAAAAGACTCATCAGTGACGCTCGAATCAAAAAAGTTAAAGAGGCAAAATAAAAGACGAAGTTATAGACTATTGAAGACTATAAAATTCCGAAAAGTTTTGCCAAATACAGAAAATGAACTTATCGTTCAGTCGTTTATATTGTTATTATGTAACGCCACAGCTGTCTTATGCGGAATTCTTATATTACGTTATGTTGTTTTATTATTACTTGATGATGTGTTGTCTTTACATAATGATGTTTTGATATAACTCAATATGGCATAGTAATTACTTAATGATATCTCGATATTTAACGATATGGTTTCGTATTGACTTGATATAGTTTTATCATTACTTGATATGGTTTTGTCATTAATCAATGTGGCTTTGTCATTAGTCGATGTGGTTTCACCATTATTTAATGTGGTTGTTTCATTAGGCAATGTGGTTTTAACATTACTTGATGTGTATGTGACTTAACGTAATGTAGTTGTTTCATTACATGATGTGGTTTTGTTGTTAGGTAATGATGATTTGCCAATTCATATATGGTTTTAAAATTACGTAATGATGTTTTAAAAATTGACGATTTGACACTACATGATGTGTTTGTTTCAGTATTTGATGTGGTCCTTTCATTCTTTGATGTGGTTATCACATTACGTGGTGGTGGTAAAACTATGTGACCATTTCGGAAAAACTAGTTCTATTTTTAGATCATAGATTTCCATGTTTTATGTGCCTTGGATGAGTGTGGCCATCCATCGAGTTAGAGTTTAATTAAAAGTTTCGAATTAAACTTAGAGTTTAGATTAAAGTTTCGAATTAAACTTAGAGTTTGGATTAAAGTTTCGATTTAAACTTTGAAGTAAGTCTTCGATTTAAGTTATAATTCAAGCCATTATTAGAATAACAGTTCTAGTAGCATTGAGTTTAGGGTTCAATTTCAAGATTGAGTCAAAGGTAGCGTTCGAGTTACAATAATGAATTCGACTTCAACTTTGAATTTGAGGAGCCTTTTGGGGTAGAGTTTGAGTTAGAGTCGAATATGAGTTTCGTTAAGATTAAGATTTCGAGTTAAAATTGTAGTTATCTAATATGAGTTCCTCACGGTATTTAAATTTTTCTATCGAATATCAAGAGCTTTTGCTCGGGCTTCCGAAAAGAGGGCTGAGGGGTATTTGTACAAACATAAACAATGTTACAGCATACAAAACACAACATAGAAATTGAAATAAAGTTGGATGTGTCATGATTGCCAATGAGATTACTATCTACTTAAGTTTAAATGTCACAGTAATTGATGTAAGCAAGCATAGGCAACCGTACAGCCTTCAACGCACCGTATAGTAAAAAAAGTCTACAAAGGCCACCACGTGAAAATGTGAAACAATTCAAATTTATAACAAAACAATCTACGAAAAACAAATTTGACACACATGAAACAATGACAACCATTGAACCACAGGTTCTTCAAGTTTCTTGGGCAGGCACATACAGAAAGTGCACGTGGCGGAGTTTGACATGTATGTGAGCGCTAAACCATAACCTAAACTCGGACTGTAATGTAACAGCACAACAAAGAAAATGTAAAAAAAAAGTTCCAATAGGCTTAAATCAATAGATCGGTATTATTGGGTAATATAAATCCATTGGTGATGATCTCGCATGCTCCAGAAGGTTAAGCAGATTCTGCTCAACGTGTGGTAGCCGTCGTGTTATTCGTTAAAGTATAAACCCAGTGATTTGGTTTTATTGGGAGTTCCCGTTCGAGGAAAAGAGGACGGGGTTGTGGTACGAAAACTGGAACATATCCGTCGGCACTTGTGAGACAGATATTCCAAAAAGTCTGTTGTTTCAATTAGTGCGATATATATCAGAGTATGCAATTTATAATAATAACAGATTGATATTCGTATATGTTCAAATAATCATACACGCTAAAAAAAAATAAAAGAATTCATATTTTATAGAATTGATGTTTGTCGCATATTCCGATCCCCCCATTTCCCTGTAACTTTAGTGTGAGTTGATTTAAAGTGTCTCATTGCCGACAATAAAGTACAAGTCTTTTGATGTTTGTGTTGAACCTGGGACATTAATATAGCGGCAGTGAGACACAACAAACCTATATTTCGTTGTGGTTAGTGGCGTCGGCGTCTTCATCATTTAGATTGTCCGGTTTCTCGTTTAAATTGTTTTTACATTTTTCATTTCGGGACCTTTTATAGCATACTATGTGGTATGGGTTTTGCTCATTGTTGAAGACTATACAGTCAAATATAGTTGTTTAAAACTTCTATGTCATGTGGTAAATATTTGGTTGAGAGTTGTCTCATTGGCAATCATACCACATTTTCTTATTTCTATATAGGTTTTTTTTTTGCATTTAATATTACCGAATTAGACTGTTTTGGTATGATAAATTTGAAAAACTCAATTGATTAGTATAAAAGTTATTCTTCAAGATCAAGATAAAGCATCTACAGAAAAACATTTCTTTTTTTAATTTTGTATTTACCGATAAATGTACAAATAAATGTACAGTCAACATTACACGTTTACACTGACAGCAGCAATATCAGGCGAAACGAGAATTCCGTGGACTCTTTCACGAATTATAATATATACTGCTTCCATTTGAGAACTAAGAAAGAAAAAAAAACCGGCAGGACCAAATTGTTTAGGGATATCCCCCGTATGGCCGAAAGACTGTAAATTGTTTAGTACTTTTTTCTTATTTTTGTCTGCCGTCAAATCGTCAAATTTTAAAACATCATTACGTAATGTAAAAACCATATAAAGAATTGGCAAATCATCACTACGAAACAACAAAACCACATCATGAAATGAAACAACTACATTACGTTAAGTCACATACACATCGAGTAATGTTAAAACCACATTGCCTAATGAAACAACCACATTAAATAATGGTGAAACCACATCGACTAATGACAAAGCCACATTGATTAATGACAAAACCATATCAAGTAATTATAAAACTATATCAAGTCAATACGAAAAGTAAAGTAAAGACAACATATCATCAAGTAATAATAAAACAACATAACGTAATATAAGAGTTCCGCATAAGACAGCTGTGGCGTTCCATATGTTATGAATGTAGTCTATTTTTTGTTTTTCCTTTTGGTATTAACATTACTTCAATGTCAGTTTTATTTGATTAGAATTATAATGTGTATCTAGGTATATGTCATAAGTTATTCGTATGACATGGCTCTTAAGTTTTCAACACTATGTGTCCGTAGTGCACCATGACCCGCGCGCACTATTGTATTTTTATGGGTTTTTTTTAATACTCAATTTTTGCTCAGTACCCTTATTTTGATTATCAAACAGTTTACGTTATAATGAAGATGTATATTAAGTTTCAAGTTGGGGTGACCCCAAACTACCTTATACCAAAACTTTAACCTACCATTAGCCAAACCTTTAACCTACCATTAGATAAAACTTACCCTTAATCAAAACTTCAATCTACCCTTAACCAAAGCTTTAACCTGACAGGGGATGGACGGACGTGCGCACACACCGGAACAATATGCCCTTTATTATCGTAGGCGGGGCAGATATTATTAAAAGAGAGCATAATTGTAACGTTTAAAGATTTTGTCCCTCTTATTATTCTCTAATTACTCAGTAAGGGTATAGTATTAACTCTTGTTTTACCCTAAGTACTAGGGGTGGCCAAATCATCTATAAAGTCGCTAAAATTAGTCATGCTCCTTGATAATTGCGAAGTAATGTTTAATAATTTTTTTACTAGAGAGACTTCCGAAATAGAATCAAGCAACTTCTAAAGCAAGGTTGTCGGGTCTCCCAACTTTCCCGAAGTCCTGCATTGATGGCCGAGTTTATGAGCTTCGGTCCTTGCTTGGAAGTTGAGAATCAAGATGTATCTGTTATTCACTTAAATAATTTGACAACCTCTCAAATGAATAGCTAATGTGTCGAAAAAACAAAGAAGTAATCTTCTTGCGATTAAGATAAACAAATTTGTAGAAAAACCAAAAACTAAATACAGATAAATTGGTCGCACATGCCTTTGAATATTGTTTAAGGGAGATCATGTACTCGTTTGTTTCCCTTTCCTAGCGACTCGCCAAGTATATTTAAGAAGAAACTGGCATTTTGATTGGATGAGTAGTAGGGGAACTACCGGTTCTTGCGACTTTTTGTTAATGTTAAACCTATGAGAGAGGATACCCATGAGGATACCAAGTGAGTATACTCTCTGACGTAACAATCACCTATTATGATATTAATTAATTAAATTTATTAATTTCTCTAGATAAGGTCATTTTAAAGTGTTACTAATTACGGCTAATTACGTGGTGTTATTGAGTAATGTACAGATGTTTATCATCTTTCTATGTTTTATTTGTATCGATTAAATTTGTAGGTAAACGATTTTCAGTGACGTTACGCAAGTGTACTATTAACTGTTTTCATATAAGTTAAGTTATTGTTCAGTAGGCACATAGTTGAATAACAAAACATTCTAGATTAATATATTATTTAATATCCCCGTTAATTAGACAGACATGGGTCGGAGAGTCATCCACATGGTGTCTTTACATTATAACAAATTTTATACATCGAGATAATAGAAATAGAGAGTCGTATATCACTCAACAGTATCTCTAACCTCTCGAAAGGGCCAACAGTATGCTATCTTTTGTGCAGGGGTGTAAACTGTCGAGAATTGAAGTTAGTCTTTCCGGGACAGGTAACTCTCTTAAATATCAGATAGATCGCGAGCTTTAATCCAAGAGTTGAATTTCTTTGGTCAGCGTAAC